TTTTTTTTCCACTACAAATTAGTCATCCTAGCTACCTTTTACTTTATTTTCATTCACTTTCCCTCTATTTACAGCTTTTTTAATTGAATGTAAAATATATGGTTAATTTCAAATAAATCGGTCAAAATAACTCACCTTTACAATGTCCCTCAATTGCGGAAGCGTAGCACGTGGCTGTGCAAAAAACAGGTATGGAGGGACCAATTCGAACCAATTTTCTAGATTTGCAGCAGCCGACTTGATTGCCTCCACATCACCGGCGATGATCAATGCTACATTTTGCGCCTCTTCAGAGGATTGGAAAGTACCGCTTCTGCACATTTTTTGCACTTTCTGAAAGTAGGCAAATTCTCAAATTTCTATGGACTGCCATAGCGACTGTTCTTTTCTAACTGCCTTTCACTGGTCAAAGCGAAAGGCACGAAATAATACAGTAAGAGATAAACGATCCCTCAACGCCCTCCGTCACATTCGGACGCAACGTTCCACTCACTACATCACCGGCTCTTGCGCTACACGCACCTTGCTGGATCACCTATATTTCTGTATGTATAGCATTTTCCATAAGCAGCCTGGACCACCTGGCTTCAGCATCTTGTGCAGCAAACCCTGTCAACAGCTGTCAGCTTTTCATGGGTTTACCACGACTGAATCAATCTAAGTTTCAAGTGTAATAAATGGCCAGTGCACCGAATGCCGGTACGAAGATGCGTTTTTTGCATAGTTCCCCGTGGGTTTCTTACGCTAACAGTACCGGTTTTTTCCGTAGATGCTCCTAGCTAAACGAATTGAGACTAGCCACCAGGACTGTCAGGAAATATCCTCTTAAAATTACACCCTTCTAATTTTCTTGCTTTCCAATTAGCAAGTTAACCGAAAAAAAAAAAATTCCCGAGCTCTTATGTGGGAACCAGCATACCCGGGAATGGGTTCGAACTAACTAAGACCTACGTGGACGGGAAACATTCCCTTAAAATTACAGCCTTCTAACTTTCCTGGTTCCCAAGTTAGCAGCTAGCCTGTCAAAAACTTTGACGGGCCCATATGTGGGTACCACGTGGGTAAGAACGCCCATTTTGGGGATGGAGGTCCGCACATGCATGTAGATTAAGTTCCCAAAGTTCCAGACCCGTAGCTTTTGCCGGTCTCGAGAT